CTGACATCCTTAATAATAGCAATTAGTAATCAGTTGTTTCTTAAGTAGTTTGATTACACCAGTCACCAAATTGTACAGTTTATGCATTTGGGGGCAGGATAGGTCTTAGTCCCCGCCCCCAATCATTTTTCCTCTCTGTGTGTGCTTCTGGTGGTGAGGGAGCACTTGCTTTAGAAGAGAGGAAAGGACAAATCATGAAACCGTTGCTATTAACAAGTAGAGAATTGGCTTGCTCAGAATGCAGAATTAAAAATCTCTTATGCAGAAAAACTCATCCCAACAATAGAAATACACTTGTGCTGGCCCAGCGGAAAGCCAGCCAAGTGGGTGGTCCATCAACACCTACTTCCCACCACCAGGACCCCAAGAACCCACCTGCCAACAAGTGTTTGTTGTTGTTGTTGAGTTGATTCCGACTCACAATTACCTCAAGTGACAGAGCAGACCTGCCTCCGGGGTGCATTCTAGGCTGCCTTCTTTGTGGGGGCACATCAAGGTCTTTCTCCCCCAAAACTGATATGTTGTTGTTAGGTGCCATCGAGTAGGTTCCGACTCTGCGACCCCATGCACACCCCAACAATGCACACCTGCGCCAACCTCATATTTGTTGCTGTTTGAACCCATTGTTGCAACCATTGTGCCAGTCCATCTTGGTGAAGGTCTTCCTCTTTTTCGCTGACCCTCTGCTTTACCAAGCATGATGTCCTTCTCCAGGGACTGGTCCTTCCTGATAACAAGTCCAAAGTATGTGAGATAAAGTCTGGCCATCCTCACTTCTAAGGAGCCTTTTAGCTGTACTTCCTCAAGACAGATTTCTGTGGTCTTCCTTATTCATTGTCCAGCTTTTGCATACATATGAGGTGATTGAAGATACCATGGTAGGCAGGTACACCTTCATCCTCCAAACGACATCTTCACTCTTTAACACTTTAATGAGGTCTTTTGCAGCAGATTGTCCAGAGCGATATATTATTTTCATTTCCTGACTGCTGCTTCCATGAGTGTTGATCATGGATCTAAGCAAAATGAAGTCTTTGACAACTTCAATCTTGTCTCCATTTATCATGAGGTTGCTTGTTGGTCCAGTTGTGAGGGTTTTTGTTTTCTTCAGGCTGAGGTGTAGCAGAACTTCCAAATAGGTTCGTTCACACCACCTACCTTTCGTCAGCACCTGAGTGAGTTACCATAGTCTCGCTGGAGTTCCCATTCTCGTCTTTGAGGAACTTGTGTTTCAGTTTGGTGTCTCCAGTGGCCTTGTGAAAATCACCCAACAACGTTGTGTCTTTCAGTAACTGATGGAGACTGAGATCTTCTCTTCTAGTGAAGGAAGGCAGTGAGCTTGTGGTCTGGGAGGGTGACCTCCTCTGTAGGGTCTGAAAGGCTAGCTTGTTGTAGGTGAATTGAGAATGCATTTGCAAACCTGGAATATGGATGCTTGTGAGGGTCAGGGTGTGCTGGCTGGGGATTCCTGTGGGATTGGAGTGGTAGCCCAGATGGGGAGGCTGTGGGGGTGTGTTGGGGTTCAACCCCCATTTCTTCATCTTCACATATCACTTCCAAAGGGTTCGCATTCTTGCTAGTATCTCTTACCAACATGGACTATATCCCTGAATTCCAATTCCAATAACTCAGCGTTGGACCTCCCCAAGACTGCTCTCACTTCAGGTACCAGTTTGGGGGTCTCCAGGACACCCTCACCTTTGACCTTCTGGCTACAAATTCTGGTGTTCCTACCATCCCCTCAGGTTCAATAATTCACTAGAACTGTCACAGAACTCACTGAAAGTGCTCTATTTAGGATTTTAATTTTATTACAGCAGAAGAATACAAACTTGAACATGCTAAAGTGAGAGAAATATGAGGCAAGGTCTGGGAGGTTCCCAAACATGAAGCTTCTTTGACCTTCTCCCCATGGAGACAGGATGAGCCATCTTTCAATTATGCCCACACATGACCATCTCCAGAATATTACCCAGCTCCCCTGAGCCTCAGCATCCAGAGATTTTGTGTAAGCTTCATTGTGTAGGCATGGTTGATATTTACTGGCCACATGATGAACCAAATCTCCAATCCCTCTTGTCCCCAGAGATCAAGTTGCTATCACTTGGTCCAAAACTCCAACCCTCTAATCACATGGTTAGTCATTCTGGTGTGGCCAGCCCCCACACTGAGTCATCTTATTTGCATCAACTATCAGCTGGGGTCCAAGGGTCCACAGTCAATAACAAAGACACTCCATCACTTAGGTCCATCCATTGAGAACAATGGAGCTGGAAGGGACATGGTTCTCCCATGTGTATGCACATTTGAGTGGCCTTCAAAAAGCTCGTGGTGAATTCCAGTATTTTTTCCTTCCTTTTTCCATAAGCTTTTCAAAGCCCTCTTGTACGTGTACTTCGAACCTCAGCCTCAGCTCGGGGCTGCTGACTGACAGGGTGGTCTGGTTCCTAGTCTATAATCACTGTGAGTCGTGTTTTCTGTTACTTGCAGCGGAACACATTCCTGATTAAACAGGTAGAATGTTTATGCTGCCTTTTCAATCGTGGAAAAGGTCCTGGTTTCAGTCTAAAGAGATACAGCAGAAATGGCTCTGAAGGTATTAAGAACATGAGTGTGCATGTATGTGTGTTTATACGCATGCTTGTTGTGAGGGGAGCCTTTAACAACCCTTAGAGGCTGATACTAATATTGGAGATGGACACAGAAAACAGTACAATACTGGTATGTTCTTATTGTTAAGTGTTGTCGAGTCGGTTCTGACACATAGCGACCCTGTTTAGGGTTTCCAAGGAAGGGCTGGTGAACTTGAACTGCTGACTTTGCGATTCAAACCGACTTTGCAGTCCATCACATTAACCCACAGCGTCACACCAGGACTCCATAGTGTTATGAGGGAACTTCAAAACATTTGTAGAAAAATTCTATTATCTTTCAATTTCATTTTTCTGTGAACTTCTTGAAGCCTCCACATAAAAGTAAACCAAAAGTCAGGGGAAATACTTTCAGCCAATAAGAGAGAGGCATTATTGTGTGTTTTTGCATATATCACACCCATTTTGTAAAGCCCATGCATACCCACATAATGCTCATAGCATGTGTAGGAAACTAAGTCTAGAGGGGGATGCCAGGCTGGAAACAAACCATAGAGGTACGCACGTTATTTGTGTAAAAATGCAGTGGATCTATGCTACATGAAGAAATTCTGCAAAATGAAAAATAAGATGCAAAGACATGGGGAGGTACTACCCAAGGTCACCAAGAGAGGCACTGTGTATAACAACGAGATCTGCAGAGAAAACAAAGGTTTGGGGAGGAGACTTCTTCTTGGGCAGTAAAACAAGGGTGGATGAGAATTACTGAGGCAAGTACATTGGCGACTAAAGTGTGAATATCCATCTTTGTTTATTGTTGTACTCTCCTTCCAGCAATACTGCTCCCAGAAATGCATCCTCTGGATATAAGTTCAAAGAAGGAGAGCGCCTTGTGAATGTTAATACAGATGCTAATTACACAATATTCAGAAAAGTGAAAATGTAAACAACCGTTCTCCTTTCTGTAGGTATTTGGTTTAAGTATTTTATGGGCAATCACCTTAATGGGCCATTGAAATTAAGAAGACTTTGTAGCAACAAGGAAACTACTTTGGCTATATCTGCTCAGAAGAGCAGAACACAGATTTGTCTTGATGCCTTGTGTAGAAGTGGGTGAAAGGCACACAGTGACCAAGCTTGGGGAGAAATGGGGCAGTGTTAACAGCTGCAGGGTTAGAAGATGCCTCTCTATCTGTGAGGAGTCTTTGGAAGTTCATGGGAAAATCCGATGGTCTTTGAATTCCATTTTTCCATGAACTTTTTGAAGGCCCCTCATTTGTGTATGTTTGTGTGCGTGCACGTATAAATGTATATATACATATAACCCTGGAGTCCTGGTGTGGGGCTGTGGGTTAATGTGCTGGACTGCAAAGTCAGCTTGAAATGCAAAGTCAGCAGTTCAAGCTCACCAGCTACTTCTCATAAACCCTATACAGGGTCACTATGGGTCAGAACTGACTCGATGACACTTAACAACAACAACATACATATAACCTACAGCCATCGAATCAATTCTGACTCATACTGACCCTACAGGACACATAGAACTGCCCCAAAGGGTTCCCAAGGCTGCCAATCTTTAAAGAAGCCAACTGACTCATCACCCTCCCAGGGTGTGTCTGGTGGGTTCAAATTGATGATTTTTTAGTTAGTAGTTGAGTGATTTAACTACTGTACAACCAGGGTTCCTGACCTATACACACATATGTGTACACACATGTGCACAATACAGGCACACATGTATGCACACATGTACATAATACAGGTATACATGTATGTACACACATGTACATACATATACAATATAGGTACACACATATGTACACACACACATACACACATACATATCAGGAGTGAGTGCCTGAATGGTGCATATGGTTACACACTCCACCAATAACCAACCAAAAGTTTGGGCATTTGAACTCACCCAGAAGCAACTCAGAAGAAAGGCCTGGTGATCTGCTTCTGAAAGAGCAGAATCTTGAAAACCTTGTGAAACTCATCTTTAGTCTGCACATATGGGTGGTGTCACGAGTCGGATCAACTCCTGGGCATCTAACAAAAACACTGAAGGATAGCCACTGGACTGTGAACCACAAGGATGGCAGTTCAAACCCACCAGCTGGTCCATAGGAGAAAGATAAGGCTTTCTGCTCCTGTAAAGGTTTGTAGCCTCAGAAGCCCTATCCAGGGTCACTATGAGTGGAAACCAACTCAATGGAACCTAACACCACCGACAACATGCACATATAAACACACACATATACCAATCAAATGTCCAAGTCTATATCATTTGTCTTGTCCAAGCCCTTTGTCCCTTTACCCTCAGGGATGACCCACCCCTTATATCAGCCAATTCATGAGAATTGAGCTGTAAATGCAGCAGATGGACTGGTTACCTACGAGCACTCCAGGGGGCAGCTGGGTTGTGGGGTCCTTCATCCAGTCGTCATTGGACAGTTCAATAATAGCATCCACGTGTTCAACACGAGAACAGAGAAGATCAGCCATGCTGTCCTCATTGTCTGCATCCAGGGCCAACTTCAATTCCTTCACTAAATCTGAGTTGAGTGGGTAGTCGGGGCGGTCATCCCAGTTAGACATTGTAGTGTTGTCTGTACACTGTCCTCTTCTGCTAAAGCAAGCCAAAGTGAGCGTCTGCCCCGAGAGGACGTGGAATGCTTTTGCTATAAATAGAAGAAGGCTGGCTCAAATTACCCGGAGCTGGAGTAACCTTTCCAAAGAAGCTGGATAAGGGAGATTCCAGAGACTGGGCAGTAGGCAGGTTGGCGTGTGGGAAGGACAACATTTGAAAAGAAAGCACTTCTAAAGACTGCTGAACAATGTCATCTGTTCTCCAAGGTGAGAGTCTGTCCTGAAATGTTAGAATCCTGGCCTGAGTCTGGCACCTCTGTTCTGTGATGCCATCAATGTCAAACATACCTACATTTCTGTTGGACGTAGAGTGTGGTCACCTATAAACTGGACAAACCTCGTGCTGAATTGACTTGCAGAAGGGAATGGAATCTTTGGTTCCCAAATTGAGAGACAAAAGGAATGTCTGGCACCAAGAAGACAAAAACATCAAATAAAAGTAGGAAACATCACTTAGATATTCGTTGGGGTCTTCCTGAGTCTCCTCGAGGCTGAAAGATACAGCTCAGAGTGCCCAGTCGCAGACCCCAAGGAAGGGCAAAGCCCCTTATGTTGTCTGTTGCACGTTACTGGGGAGGGGAGAACTAACTGCATTTTGGAGCTGCACTTGGGCCTTGGTCCTGGGTCCCCTCACACCCACTGTGCACAAGACTCAGCTGCTTCACTGAGGGCAGCAGTACAATGTACTGACCTGAAGGTCCAGGATGTGGAATGTAGTTTTATGTGATCCCCTCCATGCTGCACCCCGATCTTACCACCTTTTGTCTTTCTCACTCTCTCTCTGCCCTGCCTCTTCCTTTCAGCTCCTTGTAAGTATTTGCAGGTTCTGTTCCTTACATAGACACTTCCTGCAAATTCTTGGTTCTGCATTCGAAGGACCTGGGGCTAGGTGGCAGGCACAGGTAATGTCTGTTAGCTAGTATTGTGATCACAGAAACATCACAAGGGGATGGCTGTGCCAAACAGACATTTCTTCTCTCACAATTTAGGACGCTAGATGTTGGTCTCTGTTGGCACTGGAGGCAGGCCCTTGTGTGCTGAGCTTCTCTTCCTTGGCTGGTTGGTGGCTGTCTGGTGGGGCTGCCTCTCTCTTCCCCATCTCTGCCTTACCTACTCCTCTTAGATCTGCAAAAGCACACTGCACAACAAAGAAAACCCATTCCCAAATGAGATTATAACCACAGGTATATGGGTTATGAGTTCTTGAGTAGGGCTGTAGGATTATCACTGGACTGCTAACCATAAGGTCGGCAGTTCAAACCCACCAGCTGCTCCTTAAAACCTCTTTACGGGGTCACTACGAGTCAGAACTGACTCAATGGCACTTAGCAACATGCTGTTTTTGTAAGGTGCCATCAGGATGGTACCAACCCATACTGACCCTATGTGCAACAGAACAAAACACCACCTGGTTCAGCGCCATCCTCACAATTGTCATTATGTTTGAGCACATTGCTGCTGACACTATGCCAATCCATCTCATTGAGGGGTCTTCCTCTGTTTTGCTGATCCTCCACTTTACCAAGCATGATGTTCTTCTTCTCTAGGGACTGGTTCCTCCTGATAATATGTCTGAAGTAAGAGAGACAAAGTCTGGTCATCCTGGACTCTAAGGAGCACTCTGGCTGCACTTCTTCCAACACAGATCTATTGGTTCATTTGATGACCCATGGCACTTTCAATATTCTCCTCCAACACCAAAACTCAAATGCATCAATTCTTCTATGGTCTTCCTTATTCACTGTCCAACTTTCACATGCATGAAGTTATTGAAAATACCATGGCTTGAGTCAGGCACACATTAATCCTCAAGCTGACATCTTTGATCTTCAACACTCTAAAAGTCTTGTGCAGCAGATTTGCCTAATGCAATACATCGTTTGATTTCTTGACTGCTGCTTCCATGAGTGTTGATAGTTGATCTAAGAAGAATGAAGTGCTTGACAACTTCAGTCTTTTCTGCATTTATATGGATGTTGTTTATTGGTCCAGTGGTGAGGATTTTTGTTTTCTTTACATTGAGATACAATCCATACCGAAGGTTGTGGTCTTTGATCTTTATCAGTAAGTGTTTTAAGTTCTCTTTGCTTTCAGTACACAAGGTTGTATCATCTGCATATTGCAGGTAGTTGATGAGTCTTCCTCCAATTCTGATGCCACATTTTTCTTCATATAGCCCAGCTTCTTGAGTTATTTGCTTAGCAAACAGATTGAATAAGTATGTGGAAAGAATATAACCCTGGTACACACATTTTCTGTTTTTTAAACCATTTTGTGTTCCCTTATTTTGTTCAAATAACTGCCTCTTGGTCTATGTACAGGTTCCCCATGAGCACAATTAAGTGTTCCCGAATACTCATACTTCACAGTGCTGTCATGATCCACACAATCGAAAGCCTTTGTGTACCTAATAAGGCACAGGTCAATATCTTTTTGGTATTCTTTGCTTTCAGTCAAGATGCATCTCATGTCAGCAAAGATATCCCTCATTCCACATCCTTGTCTGAATCTGGCTCGAACCTCTGGCGTTCCCTGTCAATGCACCGTTGGCAGCCGGTTTTGAATTATCTTGAGCACAATTTTACTTGCATGTGATATTAATGATATTATTGATGGTTTTCACATTCCTTTGGGTCACCTCTCTTTGAAATGTGTAGTCCAGTTGGTTAGCCAAGTAGCTGTCTACTAAATTTCTTGGATTGGGATTTATAATACGGTTTTTTTTTTAAACACTATTCAATCTAAAGCAAGCAGTTTTCACTAAAGTCCTCGTAGTATAGCACTTAGGATAAATACTGGACTACTAAACACAAGGCTGGAGATTCAAAACCACCAGCTGCTCCTTGGAAACCCTATGCAGAGTTACTGTGAGTCAGAACCAACTCGACGGCACTTAACAATAATAGCAACCTTCCCTCTTCCCTCAATGTAACAGAAACTAGTGACGAAAGTCGCTGACTGAAGTCAGTAATATTCGTCTTCATCTCCTTTGCCAATTACATGTGTCCCAGCTAACCAGGTGCAGGCAAGATCATGTGACCAATTTTGGCCTAGGGGTACAGAAGAGGTCTGTTCTGATGCATCTGGGAAGTTGTTCTGCTTTTCCAATAGGATGGCATCTCCCTTTACCTTTTTCTTTCTTGATACATGGATGTGATGTCTGGAGCTGTGGCAGACATATTGCAGCCATGAGGTGGGGCATCATGGCATTAAGAAGAGTAACACAGAAAGAGTGGAAGGGTTGGTTCCTTGATGGCTTTTCTGAAGCTCAGCTCCAGTTCTAGCCTGCCAACCACCAGGCTTCTTGTCTTTCTGCCTTCATCATTTAGTAGTTGTGTTTTTATTACTTGCAGCTGAAGGTATTCCCAGGTAGTAGGTTCATTCTGCCTGTACATCCATGAGAATGGTCCTGCCTTCAGTCTTAAGAGATAGAGTAGGAAAGCCCCAGCCAGTGATGAAGAATAGACATTCACCCTCCACGAAGCCATCTCTTCTTTAAGAATATCCATGCCTTCAGTGATAACCTTCCAATGGATGTTGCAAAGACAGACGTCTCAGACAGAGGTGCAAGGACATCAAGGGCTGGGCCAGCGAGTGAGCCAATAGAGTGACCACCATTCCATACTGCAGAGAGTGGAAAGAGGAGCCTGGCGTATGGTGTAAACATCTTGGCTTTCCTGCCAGTGGCTTTCCAGATAAGAGACATAAACTCAGTGGGACGGAGTTTGGTGTGTGACCCAATTGGAGAGAATGAGATTGACCTTGGGTTTGTCTTGGGCCAAAGAATGATAAACGTTTTGAAAAAGACTTTTGAACTTGAATTTTGCAGCATCAACTGTCTTACATTTATTTGTATGAATTTAAAGAGAGGTGGGGTGGATGATCATAGGAATGATCAGGATTGGAGTTAAAACAAATAAAGATGATTAAAAACAGCTGTCAAACTTCAAGGCAGATGCAGAAGAGGACATGGAATGAGGGATATCATTGCTGACATCAGATGTATCTTGGCCGAAAGCAGAGAATACCAGAAAGATGTTTACCTGGACTTTGTTGATTTTGCAACAGCTTTCGATTGTGTGGCTCATGACAAGCTATGAACAACATTGGGGAGAATAAGTATTCAGGAACACTTAATTGTGCTCATATACGTAGACCAAGAGGCAGTTGTTAGAACAGAAGAAAGGAGACACTGAATGGTTTAAAAACAGAAAAGGTGGGTGCCAGGGTTGTATTCTTTCACCATACTTATTCAGTCCTGGTGTGGCGCTGTGGGTTAATGCGCCAGACTGCAAAGCCATTTGAACAAGGTCGGCAGTTCAAGCTCACCAGCTTCTGCTCGGAAACCCTATACAGGGTGGCTATGAGTGGGAACTGACTCAACGGCACATAACAACAATGATTTCAATCTGTATGCTGAGCAAATAATCTGAGATGCTGGATCATATGAAGAAGAGCAAGGCATTTGGACTGGAGGAAGACTCATTAATAATCTGTGATATACAGAGGACACAATTATGCTAGCTGAAAGGGACGCAAGCTTGAAATACAGATGAAGATGAAAGACCACAGCCTTCAGTATGGGTTGCACCTATTAAGACAGCTGTGAAACTTCTTTTGTAAAGAAAACAAAACCCCACAAAACTGGACCAATAAAGAGCATCATGATAAATGGAGAAAAGACTGAAGTTATCAAAGATTTCATTTTGCTTGGAACCACTATCAACACTCATGGAAGCAGCAGTCAAGAAATCAAACGATGTATGGCATTAGGAAAATCTGCTGCACAAGACCTCTTTAAAGTGTTCAGGAGCAAAGAATTCAGTTTGAGGGCTAAGGTGTGCCTGACCCAAGCTATAGTATTTTCAATTGCCTCATATGCATGTAAAAGCTGGACAGCAAATGAGGAAGACCACAGAAGAATCAGAGCATTTGAATTGTGGTGTTGG